ACTTGGTAGCTGTGTGATCTTTGGCAAGTTATTTCACCTATGGACTTGTTTCCTTACTGATAAAACAATGGAGTTGGACTAGGTAACTTCTTACATCCCTAACTCTAAGTAAATAATTCAAACCTACTTGTTTCCTTAGCTGGTCTCAGAACTCCCCAAAATTTAAATATATGACTGTCAATCACTCGAAAAAGAAGTGTCAGTGAATATTATGGTATTATTAATTTCTTATAACCACAGTTTCCTGATTAGGCATTAACTGACATGGTTTTTTGGAAAGAGTTTGATGGCTTCAAATGAACCAATTCTCTGGTCTCTTTGTAGCCAGAAACCTAGTTTATGGTTAAGTTTACAGTACATGGAAGGTGGGTTGGGATGGTGGTGGTGGTGGGTAGAATATTTTTAAAAGTCCACACCAAGGTTCCAATTTTTTTTTATTTCTTAAGGCTAGTTACTAATGATGATCTCATCAGTATGCGGGAAAGTAAAATGTAAATGAATATCTGTCATATTTTGCTGAACCTAAGTTATTAGGCTAGGTACTGTAGATAGCTTTTAATTACCTAATCACTTGAGGGAAAATAAAGGATGTCTTATCATCAGTGTACTTAATATTTAAATATATGCACCCCAAACAAGCAACAAACATTTTTCAACCTGAATGTATTTGAAGGCTCTTTTGGCAGATGGTTTGGAATAATCAAACAACTTAAGAGTATAGTCCCTTGAACCTGATGCTAGAATTTGCTCCGTTGGGTGGAAAGCTAGACATGTAACTTCATCCACATGATCATATAGAGTTCTGATAACAGGATGATTTTCCATATTCTGCTGGGCAGTCTCATTCATCATGACCTAGAGGCAAAGGGGGAAAAAATCACATCCAGAAAAGTAGAGTGTCTGTGTACACATACAAACACACATATAAACAGATTATACAATTTTAAAACACAACTATGAGGTAGTATGACACCCTGGTTAGCACTGGCTTATTATTACTGGCTTTAAAAGTCAGGAAAACCTGGGTTCAAGCCACTTAATCTCAGTGGCAACAGAGGTGCCAGTCTATTTTAGTAGATGGAGTTTCCTTACCAAGAGTTCCCTATGTAAATGAAGCCACAAGTTCTATCCAAAAAAATAAAAACCATTATTTAAAATCTGCCTTAAATTATGGCTCCCAATCTGGTAAAAATATTATGACCATACCTCTATTGGCATAGCACTTTTTGCTAACATTCGTTCTGTATCCAGTATCTTTATTGAAGCATCAGCAGATCCAGTAGCTATTAATTGTCCATCTCTACTGTAAGTAGCCACACGGCATGGTCCTTTATGAGATGTGACATAGCAAGTTTCGTATTCTGAAGCTTCTGGGGACATGGTCTGAACATCTGCATCAAATTCTAGGTCAATTCCTGTGCCCGGAGCAACTGTATCTGAGCGTCCAATTGCATACTGAACAGCACTATCATCATTTTCCATTCCTAAGAGAGAAAATTGAGGGAAAAAGAATATGCATTTCAAAACCCTAACTGAAACTTTGGGCTCCCAAACTGCAGGAATAAAAAGGACTACTGGCTGACAACCCAAGGGAATAAGGATAAAGAGAAAGCCAACAAGGAGAATAACACACCTGTAGTGAAATTATTTCTTCCTTCTCTAGAGCTCTTCTCTGATATTCCTGGTGCTGATGACTGGTAACAGTAGGTAGGAGACGTTTTGTCATTAAATCAGATTTATTGCCATTTACCATTAACATTTTGGAAGGGTTTTTTTGGAAGAAATGCAAACAACTTTCAGAAAGAATGCTGACCATTTAAATTTTCAGCAAGTTCCTAAGGATATACTCAATTTAATACTTAGAGCTCAAAATAACGTCAGCCACCATGATGTATGTAATACTCTTGAGAAGTGCTTTGCTTTTTTCCAGCCTGTTTTCTTTTGCCTCTCCTTTGGGAGTCAGTTACAATGATCACCATCAAAGCAAGTTTAAAAAAAGCTACCGGAACTCAGTTCCCATAACATTCCTCAGGAAGAGTGATATTCTCTTATACCTGTTACACATCTAGAGAAATAAATCTACATTCAAAGGTGAATCTAAAAATCCACGCTCCAAATTGCAAGATACCTAGTTTGATGAGATGGAGGAGCTGTTCAGAGGGTGCACACACAGACTGAGGCTTGATTTCATTGATGAGACCATTAGCAATGTTGATATAGCCATCATAGAGCAGTTGGCTGATGATCAATTTATAGAGCTGCTGGCGATCTTTTAAGCTCACTTTTGTCCTATACATTTTGTTGAAAAATAATCACCTCTTTTCACCTGCAAATGAAGAGAGACAAAAATTGAAAATGAACAATGATATATATGGTCTTTGTTTCACACACTTAGTATATCTCTCTGTATTAAGACTAGCCTACATACCACATCTGCAAGGATGAGTAACTTCTGTAGCACTGGGCACTAGACTCATCTCATGGTAACAACAGATAACTATAGAGAGGGGATTCTTAAATTTTAAAAAAAAATCTCATAACTACATTTAAATATAATTTTCTCTGTAACCTTTTTTAAAATCTATTTTAAAACATTATTTTGAGGAGTCCATAGGCTTCACTAGACTGCTAAAAGGGTCTATGACAGAAAATAAGATTAAGAACTCCCATTATATAGTTATACAAGAAAAACAGGGCCTTTTCCTCTTGCCGTAGGCAAAGTGTTAACGGGTAGGAATTCGGTCAGGTTCATGTAGTGCTAAAGGGAAGCAAAAAGACATGTGAAGATGGCCTGAGGCAAGAGAAACTTTAGAAAAGGGGAAAAAAGATGACTGTAGGACCACTGCAGGAAGGAGGAAAGTGGGAAATATTTCTAGAGGATGGAACAAGATAGGAGAATGAGTAAATATGGGTTTTAATTTATGAAGAGGGAGACTAAGATGCTTTACGGCTGATATTTGAATGGCTTTGCCCATTGGTTCTTACTAATGAAAAAATTATGGCTGGTTTAGGGGTTTTGATTTTGGCAACCCTAGGTTGGTATATTTGGGCAGAAGAAGAATTAGAAGACCAGAATCCTAAGATCTTTCAGATCAGAGAATTAGGGCAGGAAGGATCATAGTCATAAATCTAGAGATGGAAAGGAAATCTATTGCTAGACCAACCCCCACATTTCACAGATGAGGAAACTGAGGCCATAGAGATTAAGTGACTTGTCCAAGGCCCAGAGGTGACAGGCAGTGGGCAGACTAGGGATTTGAACTCAGGTCTTCCGACTTCAAATTTGCAATTCTTTGTCTTGTGCTAAGCTGAGTTGGGGGCAGCTAGGTGGTACAGTGGAATAGTCTTGGGCCTGAAGTTAAGACTCAACTTCATGAGTTTAAATCTGGTTTCAGACACTTACTGGCTGTGTGACCCTGGGCAAGTCACTTAACCCTATTTACTTCGGTTTCCTCCTCTGTAAAATGAGCTAAAGAAAATGGCAAAACACTCCAATATATTTGCCAAGAAAACTCCAGGACTGGGGGAAAAAAACAAAAAACTGAACAACAAGAAAGCTGAGTTAGGAAGGGCCTTTGATAAATGCATCTCAATACAACTATTTTTCTTTATAGTCTTGTTTTACCCATTTAAAAAACATTATTTTGAGGAGTCATATGCTTCATTTTGCAGACAAGGAAGCATGACCCTTTTCTGGGCCAGCATCATGGCCCTCTCCTTACAGGTTTCTGTCACAAACTAATAGGAAATAAACTACGCTAAGTAGTTTATTGATGACCGGGGCTTTTGTGTTTGCATACTCATCACAAAATAGGCACTTAACAGACGTCTGTCAAACTAATTTGAAGACAATAGGCTCAGGGAGAGAAAAGTGACTTGACAAAGGTCTCAGAGCAGCTAAGAGCAGAACTCACAGTCCCTCCTAGGTTTTCTGACCCCAATTCCTTTCCAGTGTACCGTGAGGTCTGCCAGGCGTGGTGGGGGGGTGGCGATGAAAACGGACCTCCACTCGAATGTTAAATAATCATGTGTCTCCCGCTAACTACCCACCCCCCTCCCGCCACGGCCCGGGCGGGGGAACCAAAGGTAAGGGTAGCGAGGGTCCCTCCATCAGTGGGGGGTCAAGGACCCCGGGGGTGGGGGTGGGGCTATTCATCTGGGCAGGCGGATGAGGCGGGAAGGCTCGACCATGCCGGGTGCGGGGGCAGCCGCCTCCCGAATCTCGCCGACCTTTCCGCTCTCGGACGCCCTCGCGCCTCCCCGCTCCGGACCAAGCCTGGAGGGGCCCGGCTTCTAGCCTCCCGGGGCTCAGGCCTCGGCCCTGGCACGCCCCCTCAGACCGTTCCTACTTCCAAGTAGCGCGAGTCCGACTCCAGAGCCTCCCGCCAGCGTCCTGGACCCTCCATGCCCTGGGTCGCAGAGGCGGGACCTCAGCTCACAGTTGGGTGCCCGTACCTTGTCTCCGGAATCCGGTCCGCCCGGCTCCTGCAGCGCCTGTAAAATGGTGGTAAAAAGCTTAAACGAGCCTCCCAGCACCGCCCCCACCACGGCGCATGCGTGTTGGTCAGAGCTCGTGCGCTTCGATGTCAATTGGACAAACCGGTTCCGGGCCCCGCCCCTTTCGTTTCCTCCGCCTCGGCTGCCATTTTTGTTCCTGGCACGTCAATATTTGGGGAGGTAAGTTCGTGTATATTGCTCCGACTTCATCCCTTAAGCAACCGTAAGGAGTTCTAGGAGTAAATATTTCCCCATTCAGAGCTCATCAGCAGTCGCAATGTTGGAGACGTACGGGAAATCCAGAATCATAGTGTATTAAGTTAGTCCATTTGGTGATACTGAACGAAGGAACCCTACTGTTTATTATACGCTTGCGCGGCGACTCGGGCGTCTATTCGAGGTGGACAGCCGGTGGCCAATAGGACAGAGACGCTCTCGGGGGCCGCGTCCAATCAGCGCTCGCTCAGCATGGGACGTAAATGTGTATTTAAAAGAGGGACTATTTGAATTCAAACGGTAGAAGTTGTCTTATTTCTCCCTTCCTGCAACCCTCTGAGTGGATCTGACTTGAGGCCGGAGGGAGGTTTGTGGCCTCCAGGAGTTTAATCTTTCCGGGGAAAAGTCCATGAAGAGGTGTCTTTGAGGGGACTGGGGAGCATGGAAGACGAGTGTGGTGTTTGGGGGCCGCGAGGATTTGGGGGAAAGAGCCGGGCCCTCTGAGAAGGGAGAGGCCGAGTTCGGCAGCGGAGGCCTGGGGGGCTGTTTTTCTTCGGGATTTAAGGTTGTAATTCTCCTAGGGTCCAGCTTATGATGACGGAGAAGGGTAGGGGGTGTATTTGTGGGGGGGGGAGGTGATGTAATTCTATCCAACATTTATTTATTAATATTTATTAAACGCTTACGATGGGCACCCGGAAAGACGGGGGGAAATGGGGTAAAACAAAACCCACCGGTTTTGCTTTCCAGGACTTTTTTAGGGTGGGCCAAGACGGAGGCATACAAGGACCATAGAAAGATAGCAGATAAAATGCTTCTGGGAAATTTAAGAAAATTTATGTAAAAGAAACCGGAAGTTGGATAGAAGTTTAAGTACACTGGCCTTGCCATATTTATTCTTTTTCCATTTTTACTGACCTTGCCCATCAGTTCTGTAGATAACCTTTTTTTGCCACTTAATTCAGTTAACATTATTAATTAACTAATGTTAATTTAACTATTTATTAATTGACAGGGCCTTGTTTTGGATGTTGAGCTAGGCAAAGGGGATCAGGTGAGCATTGAAAGATAACTTTAGGACTCTACTTTTATAGTTTACAGCCTTTTGGTTGTGTTCATTTATTAATGCCACATATTTGCAGATATTTAAAGCTTATAAGAAATTTGCTTTATGTGCATTTTCTGGTTGGGAAGCAGAATGCATGTTGTAGATATAGAGTACAGGAGAACAGGAAATTTTGGTTTGAATATTGCCGCTTCCATTTACTGACTATATGACCATGGGGCAAGTCCCTTAACCTCTCTGGGACTCAGTTGCTTTATCTTTAAAATAAAGAGGTTAAACTTGTCCTCTAAGGTCCTATGATTCTAAGATTTGCTTCTCAGAGCTACTTTGAAGAAATTAAGAGGGAATGACAGCATACTCAAAAAGAGGATGGCTTTGAAGACAATATAATCTTTTTTTTCCTTTATGACAATTAGTAATAATAAATGGTTGACATTTATATTTAATTTTAAGATTTGCAAAGCACTTTGCCTCTAAAGTGGGTAATACAGGACTCTGTTAGAGTAAGCACCTCGATTCTTCCAGTATCCCACTTTTGTTACCTTGTTGCTATTCTTATACTTACCATTTTCTATCTCCCCTCTGTTCTATTCAGTTGACAAATATTGCCATTTTCTTCTTTGTAGCATCACTTGCACCCATACTTTCTCTGCTTTTCTAAATGGACCACTAGGTTAGTTGAAGCCCTCATTAATGCCTACTGAGTAATTGTAATAGTTTCCTAGTTGTTGTTGAGTTGGTTCAGTACTGTTTGACTTTTCGTGACCCCATTTGGGAATTTCTTGGCAAAGATACTGGAGTAGTTTGCCATTTTCTTCTCCAGGTCATTTTACAGATGAGGAAACCGAGGCAAACAGGGTTAAGTGATTTGCCCAGGGTCACACAGCTAGTAATTGTCTGAGGCTGGATTTAAATTCAGAGAGTTGAGTCTTTCTGACCCAACTTTGACACTAGGTGCCCCACTGGCCTCCTAATTGGTCCCCCTCAAATCCCTCCCCACTCCAGTCCATCTTCCTCACCCCTGCCAAAGTAATTTTTCTTAAGTGCAAATCATGTTACCCTTCTACACAGTCAACTCCAGTATCTCTGTATTGGACTTCTGGGAGCACATACAAATTGTTTCACTTTTAAAGCCTTTTATAACAAGGCCCCAAACAAGAGCCAGGTTATCTCTTTTTTTTATTATTATTTATTTAGTATTTTGGTTTTCCCCAATTATGTGTAAAAATAATTTTTAACATTTGTTTTTAAAACATTGAGTTCCAAATTCTCTCCCTTCCTACCTCCCCATCCTTCTCCCATCCAGAAGGCAAGCAATTTGATATAGGTTATACATGTGTGTAGTCATGCAAAATATATCCGTAATAGTTATATTGTGAAAGAGAACATGGACCAAAAAAAACTCAAGAAAAATAAAAGGAAAAAAAAGTATGCTTCAATCTGTATTCAGACACCATCAGTTCTTTTTCTGGGGGATGGATAGCATTTTTCATCATAAATCCTTCAGAGCTGTCTTGGATCATTGTAAAAATATACAGGTTCCTAGAAGTATCTCTGTTGTTGTTGGGTTTTTTTAGGCAATTGGGGTTAAGTGACTTGCGGTTAAGTGACTTGCCCAGGGTCACACAGTTAACTAGAAGTATGTCTGAGAAGAGCTGCACAAAACCCCTGAAGCTTGGGACAGTGCACCCTCCACCCTGGAAGCAGAGGCCTTCTTTAACAAACAGTTAAAAGTCAAGTAACAGGCAGGTTATCTTTCTAGTCTCATTTGAAGTTACTCCCCCGACCTACTCTGGGATCCAACCAAATTAGACTCTGTGACACTTGTCTTATCTTGGCTCCATCCCTGCCCTTTATATTGGCTGCCTCTCTAGCCAGAAATTTACTCCCTCCTCACCTTTTTTCTTTCAAGATGTATCTCAATCACCAACTTCTACATAAAGCCTTTCTTCATTTCCACCATCTAACTTCAAGTGCCTTCTCTCTCAAACTATGTTGTGTTTACTTTGCATTCGCTTTATATCGTTGTATTTTATTAACTCCATCATGAACTTGTCTTCCTCCTAGGATATAAGTTTCTTGGGATTAGGTGTTGTATAATTCTTTGTATCCCTAGTACTTAGCAGAATGCCTGGCGTCTCCCATGACCTCACAACTGGTGTCATAAGGAGTATTTGAAGCTAGGTCTTTTCTGATTCAGGTCTAGCTGCCTAATTCACTGCCTAATTCTCAAAGATAATTTCTTAACTTTAGGTTTTAATTTTTTTGGCTAATGTATGCTGTGCCTAATTATTTTTTTCTTTTTTAAATTTTGTTTTGATTAACAAAAATTTATTTTCTTTCTATCCCACCTCCAAGATTTCTCTCCTCTGCCTCATTTAAGCTGCTTATTTTAGAAAAATACAATTCAGTACTTGATAAAAGGCATCCATTTGGTGCTCAGTTTGCCTCTAAAATTAGAAAGCAGGTGTGGCATAGTGGAAAGAGGCACTGCATTTGGAATTTCATGTTTTAGCTTATCCTTATGTGACCTTGAGAAAATCCTTTAACTTCTTAGTCTCGATTTCTCCTTTTATAAAATGGGGATGATATTTGTAATGTTTGTCTGACAAAGTTGATATGAGGAGCACATCAAATAATATATGCAATATTTTATTAAGTTCAGCTTTAGCTCTTCCATCAATGGGAAATTGATTAAAAGAGCCCTGGTTTCCTAAATCCAATAATTTATAAGTGAGCAAGTTATTTGTTCTAAGCACATACTAAATAGGTTCCCAGTTTAAAGATAATGTTTGAATTTCTCTTTGCTACAAAGTACCGAAGTAATGTAAAATTTGTGTTAATATAGAGTCACCTTTCAGTTTTGCAAGTACTGTTTAGGAAAACATAAACTCCTTGACAAATGTGAGGACCATAACGTTATGTCAGAGGATGACTATTTCCTGTGACAAAATGTCAGATATACATGGTACTAGGTACATGCCTTGTGGGTATGAGGTAGCATTTTATATACTTATATTTTGAGCAATGGTGCTTAAAAATGCAGTGCCATTAAGTAGTTTTGGAAACAGTGAATTCTTATATAGTAAACCTTTAATAAGAAAAATTGCACAAATGTAATTGAAAATTATTACTGAACTTACACGTATGGTACTTTTAAATTACATGTTGAGCTGATACATGCTATATGGACTCCCCACTTGAATGAGGAATAAGAACTACTTTGTGCAGTCACTGTAGTAATGCCCTGTTCTGATCAGTCGAACTCCCTCTCTTCATTCTTTTCCCACTGGCTTACGATAAGACTCTGGATTTAGTCTAGGTCTTGGATAATGGATACGTAGTCTGTTGCAAAGCCTACTCTTAAGTATTTTAGTTGGGAGGGCCTGTCATAGTTTTGGATTACTTAGGGTTATCTTCACACCAAGATGAAAAACTGGAATAGTTATTTAATTGAAAGAGAACTCCTAGATGTCTTAAACCTTTACTTGACCATGTCACACCATCTACCATTTTAGCTTTTACCTTCTTTTCACTGCTATGTTGGCAGTTAATTGTCTAAATCTGATACCTTACTTCATCTGCTCCTTAACCCTCTAAAATTTGGCTTTCACTCCTATCACTGTACTGAACTATATTCTTAGAGATCTCCATTTACCAAGTCTTTTTCTCAGACCTCTTAATCCATCCTTTGTACAACATTTGATAAGAGTTCACAGTCCCCGCTTTGAAGTTCTCTTCCTGTATCGTGTAACATTACTAGCCAAGTTTTTCTTCCTCTATTCAGTTTTCTTTGCATCTTTTTTTGTTCCAACTTTATATCTCTTAACTGTTTGTTAGATGTTTCTATTTGGCTGAAGCCTAACTTATTCTGGTGCATCTCCTTGATGTCAGTATTACCTGTATCCATGCAGATTGCAGCCCCATCCATGCCTTCTTATACTATGAGAGTCTTTTCCATGTTCCCCATGAAGGAATTGTCCAGTTTTGAATAGTCTAAATTTCTTGATTGTCCCACAGAGTGTCCTGGCATTCCTACCTGTGTCTCTTTGCTCCTGCCATCTAGTTTAAGACAAACCCTATTCTTCCCTGTCGCCCCATCTATGTCTGTTTTTCAGGGACCACCTGAGTCCTCTAGCCACTTAAAGGCTCACAGTGATCTTTCTCTTAAATCCTATAGCTTTTATTGTCTGTAACATGTATTTAATGTGCTGACTTTAGTGCATAAGTCCTAACTCGTCACACCTACACACTAGAGTTATACTTAACGTATATCAGCTTCCATTCCATTTGTTTTGTTCCCTGAGGAGTAGTAGCCTGTTTCATCATCTATAAAATGAGGGGACTCGCTGGCCTTGGAGTCAGGCTTCAGACATTTGACACTTACTGTGTGACCCTGGGCAAGTCACTTAAGCCCATTGCCTAACCCCCTCCCCCCAAAATGAGGGGATTGTTCTAAGGTTCTAAGACCTCTAAGGTCTTGTTGAGCTCTGTAAAGTCTATAATCCTAGAGTGAAGTAAGAATGAAAAGTGAAAAAATTGAAGCTGTACAAGTTAGTAGAAATGATAACCTTGTGCTGAGTAATTGTACTTGGGCATAGGTGAGTGAAAATGTACTTTATAAACATTAGGATGCCTGAAGGAATCATTAGAACACTTGTACAGAGGGAAAGTTTTCTTGATCATTTACAATTTGAATATGTTTTATTATGTTTTAAATATGATTGCCTTCTCCCTGCCCCCTTTGGTCTGTATTGGTTTTTACATAAGACATATAATCAATGAAAAAATTGAGCAGCACTCTGGAGACTAGTTCTGATCACATCTTTTTTATAAAATTGCATTGTAAACTCAAAATCTGCCAATGCACTATAAAAATTAACTTTTATTATGAAATTACAAAAAATTAGTCCTGTGAATGTACTTTTCATCTCCTGGGGAAATGCTTTTACTTTATTCCCTCTTGAAGGAGACAGATAAAAACACATATGTATATAAGTATGTGTGCTGTCATCCCCAGCTGGGTTTTTAAGGCATTAATATGTGTTATGTGTCTTATGTATCCTTTCTGTCTCTAAACTTTGACTAAGAAACTTTTTCCCCCCAGGCAACATGGACAAATCTAAAGAAAACAGTGTTTCAGGACCTAGCAACAAGGTAAAACATTATTAGAACATCAAAACTTTCCCAGTAGCAGTTATTAAACCATGAGCCACAAAATGATACATAGTAGTGATTATATTTTGAGATCTTTAGCTTACTTAATTCCATTTTAAGTGAACTATCTCCAGATTCCTAAATGTCAAAAGTGATTTTATTTGTCATTGCTTGCTCAGGTCAGCAGATGGGAGGGGAATATGACCAATATGACCAAGGGCAGAATAGTAGCTTCTCAATAATAACTTGATTATGCCAGTCCGTGGCTTTCACTCTGAGACTCTGGCACATCCAGCTTGGGCAGGCCCAACTAGGGGGTTAGTTCTCATTGTTAATTATTTTGAATAAGCTGATTTGTGGCTATTCCTTTTCCTTAATGAATAAAGATGTTTTCTAGTTTGTTATATGTGGGGGGGAAAAAGAATAACTTGGGGTGTAACCTCTGCCCCACCCCACCATGCCCCAATACGGTTTGTGTTTTTTTGTTGTTTTGTTTCGTTTAGTAATATTTTGACTGTTTTCAACTACTATGGTTCTGGAAATAATATGAGTAAATTTGAGATGTCTAAGGATTTCCCAAAACAATTCCATTTTCTATGGAATATGATATTTACATGTTGGCTAGAGGAAGTACCCTGCACAAAGTCTTATGAACAAACTACATCAATGAAAGGAGGAAAAGCAGTGCGTGGACAATGTTTTTTGAAACAAGTAAATGAAGTATTAATCTTAGTTTACATTTTAAAAGGTGACCACCTTATAATGTGCATGTATATGTATATTTCATCCTTGAAATCAGGACAGGGATAGCAGCACTTTTATAGTATGCGAAGTTGAATTTCTACCTAGGAAATTAGAATCATAAAGTTTTTAAGTTGGGAGTGACTTGTCTAGGGTTATAAAACTGGTTAATTAGTTGACAGCAGAGCTGGGACCAGAGCACAGTTCTCTCAACTCATAGGACAATGTTGGGTTTTTTGTTTGTTTTTTTCAACTATACCATGATTGATCTAGTCTGCAGACAGGGCAAGAAGGATGATAGTTACTATGTGATTTCCAAAAGAAGTTTTACTCCTAATCATTTTTCTCTGGATAAATTGGAGAAAACTTGAAGCATCATTTTAACATCACCAAATTAGAACCTCAGTTTTTTGATGAAGCACAGTTTTTAAATATACTTCATATCAACGAAAGGAAAAGTAAGGACTCGTAACATCTTTCTCCTATAAAACAAATCAGAAAACATCTTAGGATGTAATAATGTACTACCTGTCCTGACAAGACAATTATTAAAATTAGTTTTTATCATGCTATATACAGGAAAGCAGAAACTTTGTAAAATTCTGAAAAATCCTGAAATGTCTCATTGTCCTAATTGCCATAATTTTAAACCTTTCTTTCTTTCTTTCTTTCTTTCTTTTTCTTTCTTTCTTTCTTTCTTTCTTTCTTTCTTTCTTTCTTTCTTTCTATTAAAGACAATGACTCCACTTGGAGAAGGTCCAAAACGTGTGCCTGTGACTCAACAGATTTCTTCTCAGAATCGGTTACCTGCAAGTAGTGGGCAAGCTCAGCGGGTCTTATGTTCTTCAAATACTCTTCTAGTTTCTTCCCAGGCACAAAAGAATGTCTCTAGTCATAAAGCAATTCAGACTCAACAGCCACAGAAGTTACAACCAGCACCTGTAATTCACCCTGCATCAAGACCACCAAAGAGCACTCTAAATACTGAGCAATCTCAAACACCAGTGTCTGGTATGTAAGACTTTTGAGGCTTTTTGGATAACTTCATCCTTTGTAGTTAGTATGTAGAAAAGTAGTTTGTTTTTTGTTTTGGGACTCTGTCTTTTAAATTTCTCTAATATGAGTGAGTATGATATTAAGATTACTATAGTTAAATGCTTATATTACATTTAAAGTTTGTGACCTAACATCAGAATAATAGCTGCCTGTTTCATTTTACCTGTACTTCACATTGCTTGATGATTTTTATATAAAAAGTCCATTAATGTTTCTGTTATGGTCACTGAATTGTCTTTGTATACTTTTACAACTGAACTGTTGTATATACAGGTGTGCCATGATAGCCTAGATTTCTATATTCCCCTGTGGCAATTTGTTGTGAAGGAAGTGGTGGACACTCAAAGAATTGTTTTTTGAGGGGTATATAATGTGTGTATGTATCTAACATTCTCTTGTCTTTATTCCCCCTTTCCTCTTCCCCAAAAAATATGTTATGGACTAAAAAACCTAGTAACCTTGTTAGAAATTACTTAAATTGAGTGATTTTTTAAAAAATCTCCATCTTATAGTTAGAAATATAGTACTTCTATAGATTGCTAATTATTCAAGAATAAAATGGCTTTCACTCTGTAGTTTCCCAGTGGTTTTTCTGAGGCTCTAAATTTGTTCCTATTTCTCCCATTAGTCCTAGAAATTCCCCATATAATGTTTAGCAGGGAAAATTTTAATCTATGACTATTTTTTAAACTGTATTGACTTCTAAAAATTGTTTTATAAATAGCAAGCACTCCTGGAAAGGGAGAGACACCAAGGCAGAAAAACGAGGAAACAAAAAAGTAAGACTTATTTATATATTTTTGAGGCTAAATGTACACAGTACTGTTGGGATAATCCATTTTTCTTTAAATGACTGTTAGTGAACTTGGGGAAGACAGTTACTATAATTTGTTTATAAACATAGTTGGCCATGTAGGAAATAAGAAACTAAATAATTGATGTATCACTTTTAACAAAAAGCTATTTAGCTATGGTCCAAAATTATTTTCTTTTCAATAAAGAGAAGGGTATATGTATGTGTATTTGGGGAGGGGCACTCTACAAGCATTTTTTAAGCACAGAGAGCCACTGCAGTTCATTATTGAGGGGGGAGAAGGGGAAGTGTGGTCAGAAATAATCTTTAGAAAAAACACCTTGGCAATGGAGTGGAAGGTGGATTAGAGGAGGGAGAGATCAGTTAAAAGGATTAATTAGAATTCGATTAGTCCAGGTGAGAAGTGCTTGGGGCCTGAACTACAGTTGTAGTTCTGTGAGTGGAACAAAAGAGACATACAGGAGATGTTGGGAAGATTTGACTATAAAATGGATGTGATGGGATAACTGTTGTTAAGTAACTTCTGGGCTTTGATTTCCTCATTTGTCAAATAAGGAGGCTAAACAATTTAATGACCACCTAAGTTTCCTCTAGCTCTAAATGCCATAGTTGTTTAAGTTACCTTTGGCAAATTCTAGCATTATATGTTGAACATTGGACTGTGAAAGTCTAGCTCTGAGCTTTGTCCTTGATTCTGTAAATAACTGGCTGTGTAACATTAGGTGAGTTATTTACTCTTTCTGTAACCATCTCCTCATTTGCAAAAGTTAGAGGTTGAATTCTGTCATAAGGCTCCTTGCAGCTCTCTAGTTATGGCTTTTTACCTTCTGACGTTAATATAATTATTAGAAGTAATTGGGGGCTAGGGAGAATCACTTGGATATAATTCTTCTTCCTTGATGTTCATAAATAGCAATTACTATTAAAAGTCCTTATAGTTTATGATAGTCACTGTTGATAGGTAGTTTGCCTCCTTTATTGTAGTGGTATTTTTCATATTTATTTGGCATGACTATATAGAAGCATTATGTACGTGTATACCAGTTATTTAGTTTTTAAGAAAGTACTTTTGTTTCTGCAAATTTAAATACATTTAAATACTCTTTGTAGAAGGCAGTGGGCATTGGATGACTTTGAAATTGGTCGCCCTTTGGGAAAAGGAAAGTTTGGAAATGTTTACTTGGCACGAGAGAAGCAAAGCAAGTTTATCCTGGCGCTTAAAGTGCTTTTTAAGGCTCAACTGGAGAAAGCAGGAGTTGAACATCAGCTGAGGCGAGAAGTAGAAATACAGTCCCATCTTAGGTAAGTGTTCTAGGGTATCAGTCAGAAAAGTAGAATAAAGAAAATTACTGCATGTACTGGTTTATTCAGGGCTCACTAAGAATCATGATGTGCATTGATTGATTAGATCACTATTTCTGAAAAATCATGTATAAATCATATTTATACTTAAAGGACTTATGAATTCACTGAAAATGAAGTGAATATATTTTTGATAATGTAAATAATACAAGGTCAGGTACCAGCTAGGTATAGACCAATATTTCACACTGTTTAACAAGATAAGCTCCAAATAGGTATGTGACTTAGACATAAAGAGTGAAACAAACAAATTAGAGGAGGAAGGAAAAAATTACCTTTCAGATCTTTTGTCACAACCAGACAAAAGCAAAGAGAGGATTATAGAAGGTAAAATGGAAAATTTTGATTACATAAAATTGAATTTTTTGCACAAAAAAAACCAGTCTAAAATTAGAAGAGAAGCAAATAACTAGGGGGGAAATCTTAGCAGCAAATTTCTCTGATAGTGGTCTCACTTCTAAGATACAGGGAACTGATTCAGATTTGGAAGAATAAGAGCCATTCCCCAGTTGATGAATGGTCAGAGGTTATAGAAGCACAGTTTTCAGCCAAATTGTCAATAGTCATGTGCAAATTAAGAGAGAAAATTAAAACTAAAGCAACTCTGAGGTTCCACTTCATATCCATCAGATTGGCAAAGTTGACAAAAAAAGGAAATTACAAATATTGAAGGGGCTGTGGGAAAATGGGTACATTGATGCTCTGTTGGTTAAGCTGTGAATTGGTCCATCTATTTTGGAAAACGATTTGGAAGGAACTGTGTCCCACGTGATACTACTTTGGTCTACACACCAAAGATAAAAAAGAAGAAAAGGACCCATATGTACAAAAATATTTAAACCAGCTTTTTATGGTGTCAGAGAGTTAGAAACTAAAGGAGTGGGGTGTACTTATCAGTTGTGTTAATGTAAACAAATGATGGCATACGAATATGATAGAATACTTTTGTAAGAAATGATGAAGAGGATGATTTCAGTGAAGCCTGGAAGGACTGATAGAGTATATAAACTATATAAGCTCTAGAGTAAGTGAGCAGAATCAGGAGAACCACAACAGTGTAATGCCATACAACTTTGAAATACTTTGACCTGTGATTAGTGCCATGACCAACCAGGATTCCAGAGAATTCATGATGAAACTCCTATTCAGCTCCTGAGTGAGAAGTAATGGACTCAGGGTGCAGATTGACACATATTTTTTGGACATGGCTGATTCCAGAATTTATATTGGTTTTTGTTTTTTCAATGAGTGGAAAAGAGAGAGATAAGGTGGAGTTTGCTAATTGAAAAAATATTTTTTAGTAGTGAAAGGTACACTATCTTTTAATTGTTTTTAAAAAATACATTTGAGTTTTCTTTAAGGGTAGCTTATCTATTGCAGTCTTATAGCTTTCACATAGCCTTTTTTTCCCTACCATAAGACTTTTAAGTATCAAAAGTCACAGTAGTGAAAATAATGTATAATGTGATATATCGTATTTTCTCAATTTAATGTTTACCTTTTCTAAACTAGGATACTAAATCCTGTGTCCACATTAAAAGGAAGAAAAAGATAATAGTATGGAGATTCCATTTACTGTTGATACATTTTTTTTGCAAAGTATTCTTTCTTTGTTGCAGGCATCCTAATATTCTGAGATTATATGGTTATTTTCATGATGCCACAAGAGTTTACCTAATTCTAGAATATGCACCTCGTGGAGAAGTCTATAGAGAGCTTCAAAAGCTTTCCAAGTTTGATGAACAAAGAACAGCTACTGTAAGTTTTAGCTAATTACCCAATGGGCCAAATAGTTTCTAAATTTTTTTTCCTTTTTAGGTTCTTTAGTAATATAACTTTTACTGTAATAGAATAGACTCTGCATTTTAGATTTAGTTACACAAATAAGAAGATTATTTTAGATGGGTAAACCAAAACAGTTTGTGTATCTTAATGTGATAATGGGATTTTCACAGAATTTTGAGTTGTGAAGGGCTCTCGGAGATCATCTAGTCCAACCTGTACATCAGTAGGAATCCTCTCCATTGAACAAGAATATTAAGCCTTTAATGTGTGTCAAACAATGCTAAGCACTGGAGCCACAAAGAAACAGAGGTTAAAAACTGCCTGCCTTCAAGGAGCGTACGTTCTCATTGAGGGAAAAAAATGTAAATAACTTGATGAAAGATAACCTATGAGGGGAAAGCCCTCTCAGCTGGAGGACCAGGCAAGGTTTCTTAAAGAGAGAAGGTGGAACTTGAGTTCAGTGTTAAAGGAAGCCAGAGAAGTAAGAGGCAGAAGGGATGGGGCAGAGAATTTTAAACTTGGGGGATGGCCAATGCAAAGAGGATGAAGGACTTTCTGAGGCAGTTCATTCTACTTGGGGACAACTCTAATGAGAAGGAAAAAACTTCCTAAAACCTGATTCTGGACCTTTTGCCTACTGCTCCTCTTTCTGCTTTTCTGGTGACAAGGAGAACAGTTTAACATGATACAAGCTATTGTGTAATTACAGATTTTTTTTTCCAGGCCAAATAAATCTGGGTAGCTAGGTGCCAGGTCTAGAGTCAGGAAGGCTCATCCTCCTGAGCTCAAATCTGGCCTCAGACACTTACTAACCATGACCCTGGGCAAGTCACTTGACCCAATTTACCTCAGTTTCCTCATCTGTATAATGAACTGGAGAATGAAATGGCAAACCACTCTAGTATGTTTACCAAGAAAACCTCAAATGGGTCACAAAGAGTTGGACACAACTGAAAACGATTGAACAGTAAACAACAAATTTCCTAAATGAGAATCATGGTTTTGTTTTGATTTTAAGACTAGGTCATAGTAGTTGCTATAGAAGATGCAGGATCATGGATCTAGAGCTGGTAGGAACCCCAGAGTCTGTCTTGTTCATACTCCTTCCCCATCTTCTCTCGAAATTTAACATATGAAGAAATCAAAGCCCAGGGAGCTTAAGTGACTTTCCCCAGGACATAGAAATAATAATCAGTCAATAAGCATCACATAAATAAGAGGCATTCTGTTACATGCCAGGCATACAAAGGCAAAAACACAGTGCCTGTCTTCAAGGAATTCATATTTTAATAGGTGAGACAACATGCAAGCAACTATGTACTTACATGTATAGTGTAAATGTGAGGTAATCTAACAGGGAAAGGCCTTTTACCAAGAATTTTGGATTTGTTGTGAGTGTTAAGGGAAACCCAAGGAGGTTAAGAGGTAGAGGTGAGGAGGAGAGAGCATTCTAGACATGGGGGACAGCCAGTGCAAAGGCACAGATATGGGAAACCAAGTGTAGTATGTGAGGAAAGGTAAGTAGATCATTGGTATTGGATAGTAGAATATGTGGGAGGAGTAAGGTTATAAGAAGACTGGAAAGGCATGAAAAGGCCAGGATGTGAAAGACTTTGAATGTTGAACAGAGGAATTTATATTTGATACTGGTGGTGATATCAGGAGCCATTGAATTGAATAGGTGGGGTTCACGTGGTCAGCCCTGTACCTTAGGAAGATCACTTTGGCAGCTAAGTGGAGGATGACCTAAAGTGGGGAGAGACTTGAAGCAGAGAGACCAACCAGAGGGCTGTTGTGTCCAATTAATTTGAATCTATGTACTCTGACTCCACATCCAACAAAATAGCCTCATTGGCTTTTTCAACAGAATAATTATAGGGACTTTATTAGTGACTTTCATGTGTATAGTTTTCAATTCAGCAAAAATCAAAGAAGCAGTTCACATAGGTTTCCTTTAGTTGAATCAACTACTCAAAATGGAATCATTTTAGGAAATAATTTGAATAGGCAAAAATCTACTTTACCTAGAAATTCTCCAGTATGAAACAACTTAAAGTTTGTAGAGTTAGGGAATAGCTTTTTATGTTTTAATCTTTGTACAGCTCAGCAACAGCCAACTTTAATTTTGGCCCTGATGTATTTTGAAAGAGTCAAAAAGCCTATGATTAGAGCAGGGATTCTTAATAATGGGTCTGTTGATACATTTCAGAGAGTCTGTGAACTTGGAGTGGAAAAAAAATTAAGTATTTTCATTAATATCTAACTGAAATTTGGCACTTCTTTCTTTCTTTCTCTTTTTCAATATAAATTTATTTATTTTTAGTTTTCAATATTCATTTCCACAAGTTTTTGAGTTCTAAATTTCTCACCCCTCCCCCACCCCAAGATGGCATGCATTCTGAATACCCCTTCCCCTGGTCTGCCTTCTCTTCTATCTCTCCCCCTCCCTTCTCTTATCCCCTTCCCCTTCTATTTTCCTGTAGAGCAGGATAGACTTCTGTACCCCATTTCCTGTATTTCTTATTTCCCAGTTGCATGTGAAAACATTTTTTTAAAAACATGTGTTTTTAAAACTTTGAGTTCCAAATTTTCTCCCTTCCTCCCTCCCCACCCACCCTCATTGAAAAGGCAAGCAACTCAATATAGGTTGTACATGTGCAGTTATGCAAAACACTTCCTTAGTAGACATGTTGTGAAAAACTAACTCTATTTCCCTTAATCCTATCCTGCCCTCCCATCTATTCTATTCTTTCTTGTGACCCTGTCCCTCCTCAGAAGTATTTACTTCTGATTACCCTCTTTCCCAATCTGCCCTCCTCTCTATCACCCCCTGCTCTCTTGTCCCCTTCTCCCCCTATTTTCCTGTAGGGTAAGACAGATTTCCATACCCAATTGAATGTGTATGTTATTCCCTCCTTAAGCCAAATCCTATGAGAATAAGATTCCCTCATTCCCTCTCACCTTCGCCTGTTTCCCCTCCACTGTGAGAGACTTTTCTTTTCTGTTTTTTTTGTGTGAGATAATTTATCCCATTCTACCTCTCCCTTTCTTCTCCGAGTATCATCCTCTCTCATCCCTTAATTTTATTCTCCAGATATGACCCCTTAATCTTCAACTCACCCTGTGCCTTCTATCTATCTATCTATATACATATACAATTTTTTTCCTTCAACTACCCTAATACTGACAAAGTTCTCAAGAGTTACAAATATCATCTTTCCATGCAGGAATGTAAACAGTTCAATCTTAATAAGTGTCTTATGATTTCTCTTTCCTGTTCCACTTGAGTCCTGTATTTGAAAGTCAAATTTTCTGTTTAGCTCTGGTCTTTTCATTAGGAATGCTTGAAAGTCCTCTATTTCACTGAATGACCATTTTTTCCCCTGAAGGATTATCCTCAGTTTTGCTGGGTAGGTGATTCTTGGTTGTAATCCTATCTCCTTTGCCCTCCGGAATATTATATTCCATGCCCTGTGGTCCTTTAATGTAGAAGCTGCTAAATCTTGTGTTATCCTGATTGTGTTTCCACAGTACTTGAATTGTTTCCTTCGGGCAGCTTGTAATATTTTCTCCTTGACCTGGGAACTCTGGAATTTGGCTACAATATTCCTAGGAGTTTTCCTTTGGGGATCTCTTTCAGGAGGAGATCTGTGGATTCTTTCAATTTCTATTTTGCCCTCTGGTTCTAATATATCAGGGCAGTTTTCCTTGATAATTTCTTGAAAGATGATGTCTAGGCTCTTTTTTGATCATGGCTTTCAGATAGTCCAATAATTTTTAAATTCTCTCTCCTGGATCTATTTTCCAGGTCAGTTGTTTTTCCAATGAGATATTTCACATTGTTTTCTAATTTTTCATTCTTTTGGATTTGTTTTACAGTGTCTTGATTTCTCATAAAGTCACTATCTTCCAATTGCTCTATTCTAATTTTTAAGGAAGTATTTTCTTCAGTAATCTTTTGGACTTCCTTTTCCATTTGGCCAATTTTTCTTTTTAGGGCATTTTTCTCCTCATTGGCTTTTTGGACCTCTTTTGCCATTTGGGTTAGGCTGTTTTTTAAGGTGTTATTTTCTTCAGTATTTTTTTGGTCTCCTTTAGCAAGCTGTTGACTTGTTTTTCATGATTTTCTTGCATCACTCTCATTTCTCTTCCCAGTTTTTCCTCTACTTCCCTTACTTGCTTCTCAAAATCCCTTTTGAGCTCTTCCAAGGCCTGCGACTGATTCATATTTTTCTTGGAGGCTTTGGATGTAGGAGCTTTGATTTTGTTGTCTTCTTCTGGTTGTATATTTGATCTTTTTTTTCACCAAAGTAAGATAATATAGTCTGACTCTTTTTGTGCTGCTTGCTCATGGTCCCAGCCAATTACTTGAGTTTTAAACTCTTTGTTAAGGTAAGAGTCTGCTTCCAATGTGGAGAGTGTGCTGTCCCAAACTTCAGGGGTTTGTGTAGCTGTTTTCAGAGATACTTGTAGGGACCTGTAAATTTTCAGTTCTTGCAAGGTGGTATGATAAGGGGCAAGGTGTTTACTCCTTTCCTGGCCTGTGACCACAAGTATTCCTTTCTGTCCCATAACTGTGAGGAGGGGTTCCTCTCCACAACCACTACAAGCTCTACCATGCCAGCACTCCTCCTCACCCCAGCACTGCTGCCCAGAACTGTGACCCAGATCCACACACGGGCAAAGCAAGAGATTCCTGCCTCAGCACTGGCAAACGGGTCCCTGTAGTCCCTCTCTGATGAGCCACTGGATTCCCCGTCAGTCTGTGAGTCGGAAGCTTGAGAAGCAGCTGGCGCCCCCCCCCCCCAGCCACGCTCTTGGGGAATGGAGCTGAAACCCCGCCTTCCTCTCTGACCACCCACAGAAACAGACTTTTCCCACTGACCTTCTAAGTTGTCTTTGGCATTGGTGGATTGAGGAGTCGGGAAACCTCCACAGCTGCCCGCGATTCAGTCCTCTGAGGCCGGCTCCAGGTTTGCTGCGGCCTGCGCGCCCACGCTGCGCTGCGCTCCCAACCCGGCGCAATACACCTTTCTGATCAATCATCCAGGTTGTCTTGGGCTGGAAATTTGTTTCACTCTGTCTTTTTGTGTGTTCTGCTGCTTCAGAATTTGTTTAGAGCCACTTTTTATGAGTATTTGGAGGGGTTTGGGGGAGAGCTCAAGCAAGTCACTGCTTTTACTCTGCCATCTTGGCTCCGCCCCTCCCCTCTTTCTTTCAATTATGAATTAAAAAGCAAACAACAAAACCTTAATTATGAGAAGGGGTCCATTGGCTTTACCAGACTGTCAAAAGGATCCATGACACTCAAACGGGTAAGAACCTCTGATACAGAGATTAATACTTGTTGAAAGGAGGGAATAGTGTTAATCTTTGTCACTGACTCAGGCTTATTTATCAGCTTTATTTATTTTCTAAATTACTTACCTTGTTTCTATTGCCTGTGGTTCCTTTTTCTTTGTAGTTAAAATTTACCTGAGCACACCTACCTGAAGGTGGAAAGAACAAAATATAAAACTGGCAATTTTATGAAATTAAAGTGACTAGTTTTTACTTATGATTTAAACTTTTGTGTGTATCATCCAAGAATAACCATTGATATGTTGTGATTCTCTCTGTTGTAAATAAGTTTCTGGGTGTTGGAGTCATTTGTAGAAAGAGGGCCTTTGTTTTAAGTTAGTGTTGTAAAAATGGTGGTAGATGCATTAAAGAAAAGACAAGTTCTAGAACCAGTGCTATTACTGTTGTCTGCCCTAGAAGTTCTTAGGAGAGTTGAAAAAGACTCTTTAGAGATCATTTAATCCAACTTTCATTTCCTACATGAGAATAATGACCCCAGAGAAGTAAAGTATCTTGCCCAAGGTCACATGACTACTAAGTGCCAGATCCTGGAATTGGACAGTAGACCTCAGACTTCAAGCCCCAAGTGAACTTCTCTACTGTACCATTCTGCCTTTGTCAATAAGGTGCCTGTTAACCTTCTCTGCTAAAATGCTAGTATGGATTGGGGGCAGTTGATATTTCTCCAAATAGGGGGAATCTCTAGTTCTTTCTCCCTTTCCTATTACTGCCTTATGCTCTCCCTTCCCTTATCAAAGATCAGATGATTCTTAGTATATTTTCATAATAAATAGCACTTAAGGATGAATAAATCATTAGCAAAACTTTGGGTCAAGAGGCTCATAGTTAATTTTGTGACTTTTATCACTTTTTTCAAGATTTGTGAAAATATAAAATATTGAGCTATTTGACCTTTCACTTAGAAGGTTTCTATAATTAAATTGCTTGACATAACTTAAATATTGACTTTCCCACTGACCTTTTTTATTAGTATATCACAGAGCTGGCAGATGCCTTATCATACTGCCACTCAAAAAAGGTGATTCATCGAGACATTAAGCCAGAGAACTTACTACTTGGATCAGATGGAGAGCTGAAGATTGCAGATTTTGGCTGGTCAGTTCACGCTCCATCATCTAGGTAAGAGTGTAACTTTAAACTGGGCCTTTAGCTTGATTTGTTTGGCACAAGCCCTTCCTGTTTTGTCTGTGTTCTAGACCTGTGATTTCACTGGGTAAGACTCCTTGAAGTTGAAGATTTGAGAGTAGTCCTCTGGCACTGAATGTTTAAGTTGGGGGTGGGGAACTGGGGAACCTGTGGCCTCAAGGCTACAAGTTTTCCACCCCTGGTTTAAGTAATGTGATCAGTATGTATTAGAGTCTGAACTTGAACCCAGGTATTCCTGAGGCCTAAGTTTTATAAATTACCCACCTTATTTCTCCTGCCTATGTTTGATTTCTCTTCACTGTGCTATACTGCTCTTGGTATACCGGGGAATTGTTAAGGTACTAGCTATGTGCCCAGTACCACTATGAGAAGGAAGAACATTATCTAACTTGAAAAACTTACTTAATAGATTTTTCAGGAGGATCAAGCATTGCAATATTCAAACAAGCAAAAAGTCTTCAAATAGTCAAACTTTGAAGTTGAATAGGCTACAACTTCTTAATCATGTAGGGATATGTGATGTATAATCCAGTTGCTTGCCTTCTCAATGAGGGTAGGTGAGGAGGGAAGAAGGGAGAAAATTTGGAACCCAAAGTTTTAAAAATAAATGTTTAAAAAATTGTTTTCACATGCAACTGGGAAATAAGATATACAAGAAATGAGGTATAGAAATCTATCCTGCCCTGCAGGAAAATTGAAGAGGAAAGAGATAAGAGAAGGGGGTGGGGAATAGAAGGGAGGGCAGATTAGGGGATGGAGTATTCAGAGTGCATGCCATCTTGGGGTGGGGGCAGGAATGAGATGGGGAGAAAATTTGGAACTCAGAATCTTGAAGTGAATGTTGAAAACTAAAACTAAAATTAATTAATTAAAAATAAATAAATAAGAAATAAAATGAAGGGATGTGTGAATTCCTTGGCTCTGTTTTCACTCTGTGAAAGTACCCAGAAGAGTGGACCATTGGATAGAATTTTACAACTTTTAACAAAGTTGACATAAATTTTTGCCCTTTTAAGGGTCCTTTTTCAAGGTAAAATATGCCTGGAAAGCAGTGGTAAAGCAAGTTGAGTATATGGTGTTGCATTTTTCTGTTTAACCTGCATCATTAGTGGTAACCATTAAGTATGTAAAAGCAAGAAGTGAAAAACTGTTTTTATAAAATAAGGGCTGGAAGTGACCTTAGACCCCTATTTTTGTGTGTGTGTGTGGTGAAAACCTGAAGCATCATCAGATATAGGAATTGCTTTAGTATAACACCTCTTTCCACTGATGCCTATCAGGTACTCATCTAACATAGAGTCTTAGACCCTTCCACTGCACTGGGAAATTAAATGATTTATTTGCCCATGATTATAGAGCTATTGTTTCAAATGCAAGACTTGAACTAAGGTCTTCTTATTCCAAGGCTAGACCACTGTATTTTATACTATGTAGCCTCTCAACCCTAGACTGTAGGCTAACTCCCTAATTTTATAGGTTAGAACATGAGGCCCAGAGAGATGACACGATTAACCAATCGTGCAGCTAGCTAGCAACAGAGCAGAAATTAGAATCCAAGCGTATTCAGCATTGAAGGAGCAAGTGGGCCAGCTTAAGTGTGAAATTAGAAAAACCTTGCTTGATAATAGGAAACTTGCAGACTCATTTGAATTGAGTAAGTAAGGGTTTTTTTGTCTTTATTTTATGAATATGAATAAGAAAACAAAACTTGCTGACAAGTGGGCTTTTTACTAACCTAACCTTTCAATTGTAGGAGGACAACTCTTTGTGGCACACTTGACTATTTACCTCCTGAGATGATTGAAGGCAGGATGCATGATGAAAAAGTAGATCTATGGAGTCTTGGAGTTCTGTGCTATGAATTTCTAGTTGGAAAACCTCCTTTTGAGGCAGAAACATATCAAGAAACTTACAGAAGCATTTCAAAGGTAAAACATAACTGAAAAGAGCCCATCACTCAAACTGTAGTTTCTTTATATAATATGGTTCACTTTGTGGGGGGGGAAGAGGTGTTAATCAAGCCTACTAAGAATAGGGTATTCTTAAAATACTCCATTTCATATCTTTTTCACCACCGTAACTTCACGGTACATCACCTCTTCCAGTCCTTCACTGCTGCTGTGCAGTTTTTCTATTTTTGCATTATTGACTCTTGATCTTCTTCCCCACAGTGACCATCCTAAGCCTTTTTCATCTCTTCTCTTCACCAACCATGCTTTGCCCCCCATCTCTGCAGCTGACGTCTGAGCTACCTACTTCACTCAAAGCAGAGAAGCCTCCCACAAGAAACCATTCCTTATCTAAGAAGAAAGATGCTCCTTATCAGGGTTTTACCTTGACTGCTGCAATGTCCCTGTGTTCCTTTTTGCACCTCTTCTAGTACCTTGTTTTTGTTTTTAATCAGTTCCTGTGCCTTTTCACTTTCCCTTCATTACCATCTACTGATTATCCTTTTCTTATGCACTCTTCCTCTTGACTTCACTCTGTGTACAGGGAATCATATTTCCTCAGTCTCCTTTGTGTGTGACTTTGGGTTGTCTCTGTTTCTCTCCCTGATCAATCATATAATCTCTTAGTAGGTTCTTTTGGTTCCATCTGCACTTTGCTTCACATCCATCCTCTTTTCTGGTTCCCACTTCCCTCTCCCTAAGGAGTTCTTACCACACTATGTGCCTGAATTATGAAAATAGCCTGCTTCTGTGGCTTGCTACTTTTCTTTTGGCTAATATTCTGTTGATAGATTATTCTTTCTTACATATAGATCTGAACACATTACTCTTCCTCAAATTTTCCATGTCCTACATATCTTTTTACCTTCTGAGTAAAGTATAGGCATCTCTGCCTAGCATTCAGGGCCTTCCACAACCTGGTGACACCTTGCCTTTTCAGCTTAATCAACTCTTTTACTTGCTTCCATATACTTTCCTTCTGCCTTCTGCTCTTTCTTTGGATGTGGATAGCATTTTCCATCATGAGGCCTTTGGAGATGTCTTAGATCCTTGTATTGCTGAGAAGAGTTAAGTCTGTCAATACTAGTTATCACACAATGTGGCTGTTACTGTGTACAACATTCTCCTGGTTCTGCTCACTTCACTCAGCATCAGTCCATACCAGTCTTTCCAGGTTTTTCTGAAGTCAGCCTGTTCATCATTTCTTATAGCACAATAGTATTCCATTATATTCATATACCACAACTTGTTCAGCCATTCCCCAATTGATGGGCATCCTCTCAATTGCCACCACAAAAAGAGCTGCTATAAATATTTTTGTACATGTGGGTCCTTTTCCCATTTGTTTGATCTCTCTGGGATATAGCCCTAGAAATGCTATTGCTGGGTCAAAGGGTATGCACATTTTGATAGCCCTATGGGCATAGTTCCAAATTGTTCTCCAAAATGGTTGGATCACTTCACAACTCCACCAACAATTCATTAGTGTTCCAATTTTCCCACATCTTCTCCAACATTTCTCATTTTCCTGTTTTGACATGTTGGCCAATCTGATAGGGATGAGGTGGCACCTCAGAGCCATTTCAATTTGCATCTCTCTAATCAATAGTGATTTAGAGCATTTTTTCATATGACTATAGATGGCTTTAATTTCTTCATCTGAGAATTGCCTGTTCATATCCTTTGACCATTTATCAGTTGGGGAATGACTTATATTCTTATAAATTTGACTTAATTCTCTATATATTTTAGAAATGAGGCCCTTATCAGAGAGACTGGTTGTAAAAATTCTTTCCCAATTTTCTACTTTCCTTCTAATCTTGGTGTGCATTGGCTTTGTTTGTGCAAAAACTTTTCAATTTAATATAATCAGAGATGTCCATTATCACCACTGTTGTTCAATATTGTACTGGAAACGTTAGCTTTAGCAATAAGAGAAGAAAAAGAAATTGAAGGTATTAGAATAGGCAAAGAAGAAACAAAGCTATCACTCTTTGCAGATGATATGATGATATACTTAGAGAATCCTAGAAAATCAAGTAAAAAACTACTTGAAATAATAAACAGTTTTAGCAAAGTTGCAGTCTATAAAATAAACCCACATAAGTCATCAGCATTTCTGTATATTACCAACAGAGCCCAACAACAAGAGATAGAAAGAGAAATTCCATTTAAAGTTACTGTAGACATTATAAAATATTTAGGAGCCTACCTCCCGAAACAAACCCAGGAACTATATGAACACAATTACAAAACACTTTTCACACAAATAAGGTCAGATCTAAACAACTGGAAAAACATCAGTTGCTCATGGGTAGGCTTAGCTAATGTAATAAAAATGACAATTCTACCTCAGCTAATTTACTTATTTAGTCCCATACCAATGAAATTACCAAAAAAAAATTTTTATATAGTTAGAAAAATAATAAGATTCATTTGGAATAACAAAAGGTCCAGAATATCAAGGGAACTAATGAAAAGAAATGCAGGGGAAGGTGGCCTAGCCATTCCAGATCTTAAATTGTATTATAAAGCAGCAATCATCAAAACTGCTTGCTACTGGCTAAGAGATAGAGTGGTGGATCAGTGGAATACGTTAAGTAGGCAAGACATAGTAGTCAGTGAATATAGTAAACTATAATTTGATGAACCCAGAGACCCCAGCTTCTGGGATAAGAACTCACTCTTTGACAAAAATTGCTGGGAAAACTGGAAAAGAATATGGCAGAAACTAGGCATAGATCAAAATCTCACGCCATATATCAAAATGAAGTCAAAATTGCTCCATGATTAAGATATAAAGGCTAATACTGTAAGCTGAGTGGGAGAGCAAGGAATAGTTTACCTGTCAGATTTATGGTGAACAGAAGAATTCATGACCAAATAGGAGACAAAGAACATTACAAAATGCAAAATGGATCACTTTGATTACTACACTTTGAATTGTTGATTCATATGATCTGTTTTTCTTCTAGGTTGAATATAAATTCCCTGACTTTGTAACAGAAGGGGCTAGGGATCTCATTTCAAGACTTTTGAAGCATAATCCTTACCAAAGGCTGACACTAAAGGAGCTCCTTGAACATCCTTGGATCATAGCAAATTCTTCAAAATCACCAAGCAGCCGAAAAAGCAAAGAATCAAACAGTACAAAATCTTAAGAGTCTTGCCCTCTAGGAAATTTGAGCCAAGGTTACTATGTTGCCATACAAGAAATGCTACTGAAGTGGGATATAGTTTTGGGAAATTGCCTTCTGTCTGGGTTGTTGAAGGGGAAAAAAATTAACTTGAATCGTCAGTACTTTAACTTGCACTAGTTGTAATCTTCAATTCTGTGAGTTAAGTGAGAAAATTCAACTATATGTAAACATCATTCTGAAGTAAGACAGTTGAAGGAATAAAAGCAAACACAAAGTTGCTTATTGGCTCAGTCTTCTGAGGCAGGTTGACACAGAGGAGCTGCCAAAGAGCCTGTGTTAAGGTGCCCTAGACACAGAATGTTGAAATTGCTGAGAAAGTTGGACTACAGTTGTCCTCATCTTGGTGTCTTTTTAAGGACAGTGCAATAACTTCCCAATAACTCTAAGTGGTGGTGTTGTTTTTTAATTTATTGGGCAGATGAGGCTTTTGTCATGTGGTCTGAATCTGAACAAAACTGGTAAATCTCTACGAACACTGATTTTCTTTTCTATGCTGTTTGAATGTTGACTGTCCTACCAATTTATTAAATAAAGACTTGTTTAAAAGCATATTCTTTGTACTCGATGTATAATAGAAGAACAAGGATCTTTACGATGTGTATTTCTTGTAGTTGCAGTCAACAGATATTTTAAGGTTTTTGGTATGTTTTATAACTAAGCAAGCTCAAGAAAATGCTGAGGATTAAAAATTAGCAACAGCATTATTACCTGTGTATGTGTACATATACATGTGTGTATATGTATGTGTGTATACATACATATATATGTATATATACATACATATATATATGAGGCAGTCAAGGTTAAGTGACTTGCCCAAGGTCACACAGGCTAGTAAGTGTCTGAGGCCAGATTTGAACTAAGGTCCTCTTCACTCCAGTGCCAGTGTTCAATCCACTGTACCACCTAGCTGCCCCTTAACTATGTATATTTAGGGGTAATGTCTGTTGCAAAGAAAAACTACCTATTCTGTAACCAATTTATCAAGTTTTTATAAATGCAACAGAATCATTTGCTGAAGTATTTACCTTATACCATGATTATAAGTTTTGATAGAAATTTTGAATGACTCTTGCTATAAAATAAAAGAATTTCAATAAATTTTAGCATTGTTAATTTCAGAGTAATGAAGTTGAACTTTTGTTCAAAAGTATTAGCATCAATAATGGCAATTGAAGGTCCAATAAGCACCTGGTTGCTATTTCTTATTATAAATAAGACCAAAAAGACATTTTAGTCCTGAAAAGGAATGCTTTCAGTGACAAGTCTTATGATTACTAAGTAATTTTGATAAAATGAAATTTGAGTAGAAGTATAAATCAGTAGTGTGAAATCTACGAATGATGTTAGGGTCAGAAGAAGAAGTGAGGGATGATGATCCATGTGACTCCCTGCTGAGGAGTCCCATGTTGGCAGCAATATGCCAGCTTGCTAGCAAACCTTTGTTTATCATCTTGGGTAGATGTGGTGGAATGTATTCCAAGAATTGTCAAATGGAATGACTGTTATACACTTAACAGTGAATTGTGTGCACACATGCTGCCAGAAGGAACCCAGATAATATTAAAGATTACAATGTCTTGGCCAAGAAGCTAAAAACCTTAGGGGAACTGCTCTGGATTTGGGAAGTAAATGCCTCCTGGCTAAGAAGCTGGTATCCAAGAATGGGATTTGGGTTTCTAGACTGGGTTGGAATATAGGTACCTGACCAGAGGTGGCATATGCCTAATGAGGACAGGTAAAAGGGTATTTATCTGGAGCTGTGCAAATCTAAGACCTTGGTCTGAAAAGAGAAAACTTTGTATTCTCTGCTAGATATTAAGAGTAGCTACAATGTAGAAAGAATTGCAGCAGATAAAAAATCTAGGAAGAGAAGTCTCTAGTAAAAGTTTATGGTCTCAAGATGTCTATGTAAATGCCCTGAATCTGGGTTTGGGCAAGATAAGAGTTCCAAAAACAAAGGAAAATATGAATTCAAAATCATCACTAAAAGAAATTAGTATGTTATAGTGGGTGGAATATTGGGCTATGTATTAAAAGCTAAATTTGAATCCTGCCTCAGTTTCTTCATCTGTAAAATGGGGAAAATGGCAACTTCAGGTTTGTAAGTGTCAAATAAGGCATGTAACATTTTGCAAACCATAAAGAAGTATTCAAGTGTGAGTTTCTATTATATGTTACTCAAAACAGGTTAGGTTCCAATTCCTGGTAGAATCTTTGAACATCATTAAAGGAGTGGTTTGTGAACATCTAAAACAATGATTCTCAAACATTTTCATCTCAGGACCCTTTTATACTTAAAAAAAAACTGTTGAGGACCCTGAGGAGTTGGTGTTTATATGGGTTATATCTTTTGATATTTGCTGTGTTAGAAATTAAAATGTCTCAGAATTTGGAAATAATGTTGACTTTGCAAACCCAGCTTAAGGGGGGTGGGGAGGGGAGGATCCAACTGATTTAGAAAGTAAGTCAGTGACTGAGGAGCTGACATGGCTTCATCAAGAAACAAAGTCATGCCATACTAACCCCATTTCTTTTATTGACAAGGATACTATACAGTTACTTAGACTGTAGCAAAGAATTTCCTGATCTCTTGCTTTTGTGGAAAAGTGGGAGAGGTATAAACTAGACAATATTACAATGAAGTGGATTTTCAACTGGTTATGTAGCTGGAGTTTTAAGCAGAAATTAATGGTTTAGGTCAATTTGGAAGGCAGGCATAAGCATTTACTATATTCCAGGCAATGTGTTAAGTGCCTGGGGTACAAAGAAAGCCCCAAACTCCCCACCCTTAAAAAACTTAACATTTTAACAAGGGAAGACAAAAGAGAGCTGAAAAAGAGACCAGGAGTGAGAAAGATACCCTTGTAGGCAAGGTGGTGAAGTCTGTAAAGTCAGAAGTACTACTAATCAGGAAGGCAATTAAGCATGACCAGCTAAGCTCCATACCCCAAATGGACCCCCACGGAAGGAACTTGCCAATGGGAAAGTGGGAGCAGCATGGCTCTCTAATGGAGCACCCCAAGGATCTATATCTGGTCTTGTGCCATTTAATTTTTGTTGTTTTGTTTTATTAGAACTAGGAGCAAAGGGTGAAAATTACAGAGGCAGATTTTGGCCCAATCTAAGGGAAAATTTCCTAACAATCAGAGCTATCTGAAAGTGGAATTGGCTACCTTGAGAAGTAGTGGGTTTCTCTTGCTCCTCACTTCCCCCCTCCACTCCCACCCTACCCTATATCCTGCCACTTGAAGTCTTCAAACAAAATAGGGGTATTATGTAGAAAAGATTCCTGTTCAGCTACAGGTTGGACTGTGGCCTCTTAAGTCTTGTGCCACTCAGATTTTGTGAATAGTTTCAAGTTCTTTTTCCCACCCATTGCTTATCTTGGGAAGTTTCCTCATGGTTTAGCTCCATGATTCAAATAGAGAGGAAAGGGGGAGAGGTGGAAATTTTATAAATCAGCCTAGGGGGCAGTTAAGTGGCACAGTGAATAAAGCAGTAGTTCTGGAGTCAGGAGGACCTGAGTTCAAGTCCAGCCTCAGACACTTACTCACTGTGTGATCCTGTGCAAGTCACTTAACCCTGATTTCCTCACTAAAAATAAATCTAAGCCTAACTCTTCAGGAGCGATTTACTCTTTCACAACTCTACTGCTCAAATCATAACAACTGTGCAAGAAATTATGCTAGATATTGAGGGGTATGCAAAAGCATGACACAATGCTTTTGTGTTTATTTTGTCATGTAGATAACTGCCTCTATGTATATGTATATAACAATACATATTTATTTCAAAGGAGAGGATCATGAAAAATGTTGGAAATATGATGCAAGATTAATAATGAGTCAAGGATTTGTAGATTTCACAAAAAAATTAAATAGTGTGACTCCTTTAACAAGAGAAACTGAACATCCCAAATATGGAGAGTACCAAACAGCCAGATTAAAAAATTAAATTAGCTACACTTTAACAGACTGGAAATGGCTAGTCATCAGTATGGGAATTATTTAAGAATCAGGTGTCTGTTCAGTGGGACAATTGAATTATTGTAGGCAAGATAAAAGTCAATAGCAACTTAAAGGGATAAAGATGAGAAGCTATAGTGTGCAATTAGAATAGGTTCAAATAAGCTGTTGGTGGCAAAAAATAGGAAATAAAACAAAGTAAAAACATTAACATACACTATTAACAGTTGGCACACTGGAAGAGCCCCAGAAACTGCACTTAATTTAATTTCCAAGGAAAGATAGATACCAAAAGTAACACTTCTTTAAAATATACTTATTTGCAAAACCTAACAGGACAGTAAGATTATAAGCAGTATCACCTCAATATATTAAGAAATGGCAGACGGAGAAATGAATTTGTAAAAAGCTTGGTGTGAAATTAAATTAAATAATATCCCAAGAGCATTTGAAGTTGAAATTGCAAGAAGGCTAGCAAATACAAGCTAAAGGGGACAATTGTGAGGAGAGTGAGCCATCTATTTTCAAGATATCTGATAGAGGGAAATGTCAAACAATTAGAAAAGGTCTCATGACATATCACTGGGGGGAGGGGGCTGCCTCTGCCTCCTCCCCACACACCAGAAAAGTGCTTGAGGTAACATTAGTAATTACTGAATTATGTTTCTCTAGAGGATATTCTTGATGAAATCCATCATCATTATGCTTCCAGGAAATCTCTTCACTACTAACCTCACCATCCTTCAAGATTACATCAGCTTTGTTTGTGATATATAGGAATGCTGATGATTTATGTGAATTTATTTTATATCTTGATACTTTGCTAAATTATTTATTGTGTCAACTAACTTTTTAGTGGAATCTTTGGGATTTTCTAAGTATATCATCATATCATCTGCAAAAAGAATAATTTTATTACCTCATTCCCTATTCTGGTTCCTTCTCTTTCTCTTTCTTTTCTTATTGCTATTGCTAGGATTTCCAATCCAATTTTGAATAATATTGTGATAGTGGTTATCCTTTTTCATACCTGATCTTACTGGGAAGGCTTCTAGCTTATCCCCATTATAAATAATGTTTGCTGAGGTTTTAGATAAATGCTTTCTAACAATTTAAGGAAAAATCCATTTATACCTATACTCTCAAATGTTTTTAATAGAATTGAGTATTGTACTTTATCAAAAGTTTTTTCTGCTTCTATTGATATAATTATATGATATTTTACTGTTATATTTGATATAATTAATTATATTAGTGGTTTTCCTTATGTGAAACCATCCCTGCATTCCTAGACACAAAGAGAGATATTATAAGAAAATTCAAAGCACATGGAATGTGTTACTTATCAGACTTATGGCTAGACAAACAATTTATGAACAAACAAGAGATAGAGAGCAGAGTGAGGTGTAAAATGTATAATTTCAATTACTTTAAATTATAAAGGTTTTCTACAAATAAAACAAATACAGCCAAGATCAGAAGGAAAGAAGAAAACTGGGGAAAAAATTTTATAGACAATTTCTTAGACAAAGGTCTCATATCTCAAATATATATAAGGAACCCTGTAAAGTCTATATGAAT